TCTGATTAGGTATGCTCAATCTGTACTAGCTATGTGTGATTGTTACCATTAAGGGGATCATATTCTCCTTTACAAATCTGATGAAAACTATGCATATAATTTTCTAAAATTTACAAGTGTCTTGAATCCTAAATTTCAAAGCATTTCTGGTTCCTGAAGTTCAAAGTGTTTCTGGTTAATGGAAAAGAATGGAATCCAGTATCAACCTAAGAATATGTGAGTAAATAAAAGATTAATACACAGTGGAAAAAGGATTACTTACCAAATAATCTCTGCCATAAATGGCTATTCATTGAGAGAAATTACAATAAACCTCTATAAATATCTGAATAGCTTAAAGAGTTAAGCAGAGAAAACTAATATACTATAATTAAATGTAGGGATATACACTAAGGAGCCCAGAAGCTTTCTTAAGTAAAACATGAAATCTACATGCAAAGTTTAAACCTTGTGAATAAGCAACACATATCGGTCAAAAGAGACTTGGAGAAAAACAGATACAACACATATGGCAGATGAAAGATTATTAATTTTAACATAACAAAAACCCTAAGTATTAGTGAACTACCCGTCAGAAAAACAAACTAATAAAAACAAACCTGCAAGTAAAAAGGCAGTAAGCATATGTAAATATGTTCAACCTATCTAGAAATTAAAGAAATGTAATTTAGCAATGTTTTATTTCACAGCCTCAGATTAGTAAATACTAAACGTTGACAGCTTCCGATGCCTCTGAGTATGTGTTGGCAGTGTATCTAGATCACTGTAACCTGTCCAAGATAAAAAACTGTGAAATAACAGGTTTTAAAATCTGTTAGAAACATAAAATCATGATTCCTGTGTCCTAACAATCCCGCATAAAAGATGTATTCTAGTGAAAAATAGCATCAATGCATAAGGAGTTAAACAGATATAATAATACAAGAATGGTTCTTTTTTTCATTGTTTATAGTATCAAGAAAGAAAACACCTTTGAAAAGGGCAGGGGCGCTTCCCCTCTGCAGCCATTGCTGGAGTTACAGCGCCCAAAATGAAGTTCAATTCTTTTGTGACTTCAGACTGAAGCAAGAACCCAAATACACCTTGCCACTTTTGCAGGAAGATTGTCTTCCCCTCTTTCCAAAGAGCTGAAACAAAAATACAAAGTTCGATCTATGCCCATCTGAAGGATAATGAGGTTCAGGTTGTGCAAGGATACTCTAAAGGTCAGCAGGTTGGCAAAGTGGTCCCGGGTTACCAGGAGAAATATGTCATCAACACTGAAAGGGTGCAGCAGGAAAAGGCTGCCACATGGCACAGCTGTCTATGTGGGCATTCACCCCAGCAAGGTGGTTATCACCGGGCTAAAACTGGACAAAGACTGCAAAAGATCCTGGAACAAAAGCCAAATCACCAAGCAGGAAAGGAAAAGAGCAAATTCAATGAAGAAACAATTCAGAAGATGCAAGAATAAAGTCATTTTATGTATGACTTTAATTAAAAACTACTAAAATGAAAAAACAAAAGGTTTAGGGGACCAAGGGGACAATCTGAATGTCAATTACTGGTATAATGTATCATAATTTATAATACATACAGACTTTAGAATATCATTTAACTACAAGAATAAGTCAAGTTTACATGTACTGATCTGGAAAGATGTTTACACTACTAAATGATACAAAGCAATCTCCAGAGTAATATATATACCATGATCTCATATTTCTATTTTTAAAAGACAAAAAAGGAAACCTATGCTGTTTCTTAAAAATTTCCATGGATGTACTTAATTCCCCAAGTGACCAATAAATATACCTTAGCTTTAAATGTACTTATTGCTTAATTAAAGGTGTCACCATCGAAATATTATTGTTTAATAACATCTTTAACCAAGGTACACTACAGGCATTAGCACACAGTCCTTTGGAATCTTCTACAGTGGAAAAGAATATGAACAATCAAAACTATTCTTGACAGAAACTGTTCTATAGTTCTTTTATTTTTGGTGGCCAAGAAAAAGATGTTTTTTGTAGATAGGTGATACTGGGGATTGAATGCAGGGCCACCATACTGAACAACCTCTTTAGCTCTCTTTTTATTATTTACCTTCTGCTAAATTACCCAGAATAGGCTCAAAATTAACCATTTTCGTGCCTCAGCGTCTCAAGAGTGCAGGAATTACAAGCATGTGCCACCATTATGCTTAAAAATACTTTTTAATGTTGCAATTTTACACTTACAAAAAAAAAAAGATTTTCTTCTCTAGTAACAGAAATAAGCTATTTCAGTCATTTCATTGAGAAATGTAATTATGTTCATTATATGGATCTAAACAAGGGGCAGACATTATACTAAACCAATTTCATTGTATCAGAAATTGAATTTTCTCAGAGTGATATTCATTCTTTGCAATAAACTCATTGATATTGCAACTTAAAAATTCTGCTCAAACAGCTAAACTCAGTATAATGCCAATATAAGGTTTCAAGCAGCCTGATATAATTAAAGGACCACTTGATTGGTATCAGATCTAAATTCCAATCTTGGCTCTGCTATTTCCTAATGATGTAGTCTTAAACAACTTATATAATCTCCAACTTTGTTCCTGCACCTACAAAACACTTTCCATGGTGTTCGAGGGACAGGTAGGACAGTCTAGTGATCAAAATATGCAGCCTTCTGATCTTTTTTCCTACGAGATCAGATTAGTAACCAGAGATTTCTTTTAGCATTGTGTTTTACAAGAAAGAAAAACAAAACAGAAGAAAACAGGAAAAAGGAAAATAAAGTCAGATGCTGTGGACCCCACCTGTAGTTACTCAGGAGGCTGAAGCAAGAAGATTGCTCGAGCACAGCAGTTTAGGGACATCCTGGGTAACACAGTATGAACTCAGGTCTCTTTAAAATTAGAAGAAAAAAAAAATCCAAAGACTGCTGAGCTGATATATATATAAAAGTTGCATGCTTCATTTTCCGTATTTTTGCATTTCCAGATGAAAAATATGTTAAGTGCTATTTAGGGTTCCTTTTCCTAGAATATTTTTCAGATTTCTTTTTATACATTTTCACTGTTCCTGGTGTAATTATTTGATGCATAAGCTATTTCTGACAAATTTTTCTCTTACAAAATCATGAGAACATATGTTCTACCTGTGGCAGTCTACATATTCAGATAACTTTCTTAATAAAGTCATTCAGAGAGTGTCTATGGAAACCACTTTCAAGCATTACAGAGAAAAAAAGACAATAGTCAAAACTTCAAATCATTCTAATCCACCGTAACGTGTCTAATAAGTTAACTCCAAAGAATACCAACTAGCAGTATAACAAAGAATTAGCAGAATTCTCAACTTCAAGGAGTCATTTTTATTCTGTAAAGTGGGATTATTTATGAGACCAGAATATGATTGTCAATGCTGCCTGAATGGATTCGCATAAAAAGGATACTGATTAACTTTCAATATTAAAAGTTAACATTTTTTCGTCATCCAAGACATTAATACAATTATAAATTATAAAACTATAGATACAGGGCCGGTGATACAGCTCAGTGGTACAGCACCTGCTTGGCAAGCACAAGGATCTGAGTGGGACTCCCGATTAAAAAAAAACTAAAGATACAATAAAATGAAAAACTCTTCTGCCATTGAGAACTGAAAGTATCACTAGCTCCTCTTTCAAATTTATCTGTACTTCAATCAAATTTATTTGATGCTCTTTGATACACTTCTCTTTAAAGTGTACTCAATGTTTTCTACAAAGTATACAAAAATTAGAAATAGCTACATGTAAAAATCACAATTATTGTCACGCTGTTCCTAAAAATTAATTTCTATCCGCATCATCATCTAGCTTTCCACAGTTATTCCCGTTTAAACTGTACTGTTTTTGCCTGCTTTTCTAACCGTGTTTAAGATGATGGTGAAGTTCAAGTATATGTAAAAAAGTACTTCACCTTACTTTTCTATGTTCAGTTACAATTTCTCAAGCTGACTTTTTAAGTAGCAGGCATATTTTTAAATAAAAAAATTATCACTGTGATTTTTTAAAACTCTCCATCCTGAGATTTTCGAGATCCTAAAGTTCTCTAATCCGAAAGTACCTGCCATCAGTGCTTTTGTCTGGTCTTGCACAATTTCACACTCCAACTCTGTATTTTACACCTCTTCACTCATGAAAACACTGCTAACCGTATCGAGGAACTTAACATACAGTTACATTTGCGCAGCATTTTACGTTACCTTTGATAAAAGTCAGCTACACCAAGTTTCCGCTTCGGCGTTCCCTCACCTTCTAAATTCAAGTCAACAGTGCCGTGAAGCAACATAAACACACAACCCTCCTGTGACGCCCAAATTAATCAGTTTGGCGCGACTAATAAAGAATTTAAATCTCCACATGCCTCGTTTCGGTGAAAGCTTGATACCCACTACCTGGCCAGCCTCCCTCGACTGTCAATTGGGCTGCCACTGCAAGAACATGACCCAGAACGGTGTGCTTCTTTCCACATTCCCGGTTTCTCCTTCCATTTCTGCGCATCCATCCCTCCGTGAACCTGGCCCCCCGCCCGCCACCGCCAAAGGATCCTGCAACCAGGTACCCACCTCTCAAACGAGAATATCCCCCGCCTGACACTGCGGGGCAGCTTTCCGGCCACACTTCCAAGGGAACCGAAGGGGCCGCGCTTCCCGATCTCCTCCTCCGCTAGCCCCGCTCCCTGCTGAACTGGGTCCCGCTTGCTCCTGCTCCCCGGAACGCCTACTTCGGGCCAACCCTCTGCCCCGGGGAACCCAGTCTCGCAACCTCTGCCCCGTGACCTCCGGTGTCCAACTTAGCACCTAAGCTTAATTCACCACTCATTCTCAGAGCTGGTGCTCTCCACGCCCCCTGCCCGGCTCCCCAGAAACCCCCAGCCCCAGAGGCGAGCCCCAGGTTAGACGAACGCCCACCGGCTGCGGCCGCGAAGCCTGCCCGGCCGGCCCCTTGCCCAGCACTCAGCCCAGAGCGGTTCGGCTGCTCACCTAGCTTCGACAGGGACTCCTCCTGCTTCTGGACCTTGTTCAGCAACAAGAGCATCGCCACCGCGAAGGCCACCACCGCCAGCAGCTGCAACTTGGGCGGCATCATAATCCTAAGGAGCCCCATGAAACCCGCCGCTCGGGATCAAGACATACCGCGGGGGGCGGGGAGCGGGACCCCGGAGGCGAAGGAGACGCGGGGAGGAGCCCGCCGAGCCGGGAGAGCGGCAAGGAGAGCGCGACGGGGAGACGCGCAACGCAACGACCCCCTTCTCGCCACTCCGATCCCCCGCCCCGGGCAACAGCACCAACGCCGCGGCGCCCGCGCCTCCTCAGCCGACCAAGCGGCTGCCCCTCCGAAAGCCCGCGCAGCACCAGCGCGAAGCAGCAACCGGGTTTTCGCCTGCTTCTACTGCTTCAGTCCCCGACCCCCACGCCCGCCGCCTGCCTGCCTGCCTGCTTGCCTCCTTCTTCCTTCCCTCCCTCCTTCCTCGCGGCCGCGCGCTCCTCCACCAGCTCTGCGGCTGCGGCTGCGCCGCCCTCAGCCCCGCCCCCTCCCTTTTTCTCCCATCCCCCCTCCTCCACCACGCGCACGCCTCTACGTACGCTGCTCGGCAACCAGAGGCTCCACCCTCTCTTCCCGTTCGGTTGTGCTCATTGGCCTGAAAGAACTCTGACGTTTCGCTTACGGTTCGATTTACCATTGGGTTCTTTGGCCACAGGTTCAACAAAAGAAGCATGCGATTGGATACCATGGAGGAGAAGGCGGGGATGAAACTGGAGAAGGCGGGACTTCTCGGCTGCTGGAAGAAATGTCGCGATTGGAAGGGAGGCGCCCTCAGAAGAACGGTAATGGGGAGTTTAGAAAAGTGCCTGATTTGGGAAATTGAAGTCACTTGGCGACCGTCCTTATATTTGATCATCTTTAAGTTTTCATGTCCCCTTAGTTAATGCTCATCTGTTCAGAATAAGGAATTTGATAGCAATGGCCTTTTATGGCCAGCATCGGATCAGGCTCTGGAGTGGGCGCCCCGTGGGTGGGGTCCTCTGGTGGGCCAGAGATTTACCGTAGTAGTCAGAGATGGCGGCTGTGCCGGGGGGCTTCTTTGGGTCGGCGTTTGTCCTGAGATTTCTCTTGGCGACTGTACTTCACGCGGTGAGTGTGTGTTACCTCTGCGGTTTCCTTGGCTTAGTAGGAGGAATTGCTGTTGAGGCAGACGAAACAGTAGTTCGACTTCCTGTTTGGGAGCCTCTCTCGAAAAGGATGGAAAAGGCTTGAGTTTCCTTAGAGACCGCCGAGGCAGGATTGCGACGTGGCTTAATTCCTGGCAGAGTTCCTTCTGACTTAAGACTGTCTTGGGTGTTATTCTGTTACACAGCTTTAGTTTAAAGGGATTTTTATGCTATACAGGGGAGGCAGTAAAACTTAGAAAGGAGTAACGGTGTTTCTGAGCCAACAGAAATGCAAGAAATTGTTCTTTACGATAGTGCTCCCAAATCTTAGAGGAAAATGTTCAAGATTTTGGCCCACAAAAGCAATTCCTGCTTAATCGTTTTTCAGTCTCATTTACACACACATCAGTGTAACCAAGTTTTTAAGTTTTCCATTTTTTTCGTGAGGAAAATACATGAGTTCTTAATCTTTGAAAGAGGAAAGCTTCATTTTGACTTACTTTCCTTCCTATGAAACAAGTAGATATTAACCCCTCATAGGAAGTACTGTGAATAACCACTGTTTGGTAGCTTGTACGTTTCCTATTTTAGTTTTCTGCTGTGACTGCTGAAGTTTTCTTCTAGAAAATACCTTTCATTGTCTGAGGCTTTTTGGAGGGAGTAGGGACTAACCTGGTCTCTAAACACGTATACTTTTTCTTTCATCACTGCGTTTGCAAACATTCTCGCTGTTTTTACCATGATGGATTCTTTGTTACTCAGACATTTGGTGCTTAAAAATTACTGGGACCTCCATCCCTGAACTTTGTACCATAAGGAGTTCTTTATTACCCTGTTTGAATTTGGATTCATTATTATCACCATAAAAGGATAATATGAAATAATACTCCAAGCTCCCTCCAAATTTCACTCTGTCACCGTTGATGATGTAATGACCCCCCCCCAAAAAAACTTAGTTACTGAATAGGACCATTTCACACCATTCCGTGAATCAGTGGAGCAGTAACTGTTAATTTCCTCTGGCCTCATTTATACACTGTTTTGAGCCAGTAGTTCAGCTAAACCAAAAAGGGTAAGGACACCATCATCATTCATAGTCATGGTGTCCTCTGTGACTGCTTATCCTGTGTAGGCTAGACCAGCTTCCTTTCAAGGCAGTCCTGAGGCAGTGTTTCAAAAGAGCAAGAATTTACAATCCTTCTTAAGGGCTTGCCTTGGAAATCATGTATATCATGTCCACCACAATACTTATCAAAGCAAGTCACAAGACCAGACCACCTTTCAGAGGTAGGCTACAATCTCAGAATCCATGTGAGAAATTTGATATCATCTTTGTTTTTCTTACATATCTCACATTCAGGCAGTTGCTAAATCTTACTAATTTTGCTTCCTAACTATCTCTAGAATCAGTCCACTTACTGTTTATTCTTCAGTCCGCTTATTGTTTATTCTTCAGACCACAGGCTTCTCTCCTTAGAAATAGTGACTTGCTATTTTACCCTTTTAGTTGTCTCTCTTTATATTCTGAAGCTAAATGGTTGGCTTTGCCAGCTCCCCAGTTGTGCAAGCAAGAAATTGGTTGTGTATATGTGCGCACTTGCACCCATGCTTTAGTGCATATTGAACCCAGGGCCATTGCACAGAGTTACCTCCCCATCCTTTTTTTCATTTTGAGACAGGCTGGACTAGAACTTGTTATCCTCTACCTCAGCCTCCCAAAGTGCTAAACTAAACAGTCATGTACCATCAGATATTGGTCCTTTTAACACTCTGAATTCATATAGTCATTAAGCAATTAAAAATCTCCAACCTAGTGCATTTAATTCTATTTCTGCAGGTAGTACTTAAATTCAGGTCCCTATCTTTTCCTATAATTAACACAAGGACTAACTTAACTAGTGTCCTCATCTGATTTTCTCTCTAATAAATTTCTATAGTACATTTAGTGTGATCTTGCTGAAACAAATCTATCATGATTAAAACTGCACTAGCTCACTTGCTTTTCAGACAGTCTGTCCTCCTTACTGTTTCTTAGTAAGACACTTTCTATCCAGGCTTATTTTTCAGCAGTTGCCTGTACTGGGAAGGCAAAAAGGTAGAGACAGAGAATTGGGTTCATTTGTTTTCATGTGTATACGAGGTTCCTTCACAACAGACTTTTTTTTTTTTTTTTTTGTCTTTTTCATTTTTTTTTTATCGGTACCGGGGATCGAACTCACGACTGCCTGCTTGCCAGGCAGGCACTTATGCCGCTGAGCTAAATCCCCAGCCCCCACAACAGACTTTTGAACAAGTTATTTTCATTACTTAGAAGCTGCTTGCCAGCTTCCCATTCTTTTCTCTTAACAAAATATGGCTTATCTTCTGCTTATTCTCTAACACTTCAGTTTTTGACTAAGAAATTGCTTCCTCCAGGAAAACTGCTGTATACCCCAAGTATAGATTAAGATTTTCCTGCATGCCCCCGTAGTGATCAGTACTTGTTTTCTCCAGAAACCTTTCATAATTTTCTCTGTTAGTTTCTTGATATTTAGTGTTCTCCCACTACTTGATGGAGCTCTTCCCTCTATGAGGAAGGACCAGCTCACTGTTTCTGGTTATTATTTTATCACTAGTGACATACATATAGAGTAATACCGTATCTGACATCTAAGTATAATATCTGATGAATGGATTAGGGAATTCTTAAAGTTCTAAAAACATGGACTTTTGAGGTCTATTTAAAAACTATTGTCAACTATATATTCTGTAAAATTGGTTTCATGTAGTTCTGATTATCACTAGTTCCACTTGGACTCTATAAGAATTGTGGGGAGAGAAGAGATTAAAATATGATGCTTAGGCTCTACTTTAGATCGCACTTAAAAATTACCTGGTGACTGTATACCTGTAGCAAGTAAAAACACAATATACTGAACCTTTTAGAGCAGGAAGCAACTTACTATCAATGTGACTTCCCCCTAACTTTCACTCAGTAAGTCATCAAATAAAATCCTAGTTCAGTGATGGTGAATCTTGTAAGAACTTTCATTAAAACCAAACAGCCCACTCATTGATTCATCACAGTTGCCTTCGTTTGTTAGTCACAACACACTATTGCACATAAAAATATTCTCAAAGATACCATCTTCCACAATTACTCAAACTTTGCCTATTAAATGCATGATATTATATAACTTCGATTAAAAAGAACACCAAACTTAAGGAAATCTATTTTCTAGTTTTAACTTTTAAACATTGACTGTAGCGTAAGGTAAAATAATTTACCCTTAGCCTTAATTTCCTTATTTTTTCTCTGCATAGTGTTGAGATAGAGTGCGAAGCTTAATTCACATTCAGTTTTCAGACTTAGAAGTCAGATGTAATTTCCCCCTTGCATATACTGTCATCAGACTTAATGTTGGTATTGCACTGATCCACGGTCTTAACCATTACAGTTTTCTGTTTGTACTCTTATCCCATGCTAGTTAGTAGAATGCAGCCAAGAAGAATACAGGGATCATTTTCCTTTTGTTGGTCTTTTCATTGCGCTTCACAATTAACTGTTCATCCTTCTGAGGTATAAATGAGCTCCTGGTTCCTTTGCGTTATTGCCAAGAGACCTGCAGTTTGTGTAGAGGGCTAGTGAACCCCACTCAAACCCAAAATACAAAAATGCCTCAGAAAAAAAGAAAAGTCACCCTTATTGAACTGCGTAATGTACCTAAAGTTTCTTCCTTTTTTTTTCTGTAATGACAAGTGTTTTTACAAAAAGAAGCTAAAACCTGGAAAATGAAAAGGAGTATAGAAAATTGTTGGAAAAATAGTAAGAAATTTGTAAAACAGTTTCACAGTTGGCCCATGAGGGAAAAAAAGACCAAGTAAAGTGATTGGTAGAAACAAAAATTAGCCAAATCTTTGGAACCTGGCATGAATAAAGAGGAGTAACAAAACAGTTCCAACAACTTAAGGTTGAGATACTATTGTGAATGGAAGATAAAACTGTATCTTTGATACTTAGCTCATACTTACACCTCAGCCCTTATTTTAGACAAGTTGTTGAGTTTTTTTCCCATTTGGCTGTGCCTCTCAATATCTATAATTTCAAATTAATGGCAGAACATAGTTAACTATTTCAGTGAAGTGACAATTAGGAAGATACTGGAATGACTTAATCTGAAAATGCATTCTGAGTATACTTAATCAGGAAAGTAACATTTTAGTCTAACCTAAAAGAACTGTGTACTAAAGCTCCCCAGAACTGTTTTTCAATCATTCTCTCAGGTTGTATGTATTTCCTCATTCAGAAAGGCACTGTACTGAAAGTCAGTATAGGGTTGTAAATGTGATTCGGTGAGTCTTTCATCCCAATCCAACACCATTTTGTCAACAACTTCTTGTCTGATAAGAAACCATTGTCAGCTTCATTGTTAGTGATTCATATAGTAATGGTGTATTGTGGATTTTGTGAAATACAATAGTCAGCAGTTAGGAATTTCTTTTGTTTTCTGTCACTTTTAACAAAATATCTGAGATGGGTAATTTATAAAGAAATGTTTATTTTGGTGTGCAATTCTAGAAGCTGAAAAGCCCTAGTCTAAGCCCCTGTATCTGTGAAAGCCTCAGGCTTCTTCAACTCATGGCAGAAAGCAAAAGTAGAAATGGCAGTCTGTGAAAGATAAAAAATACTCCTGCTAACCCATTCCTGTGAGAAAGGATCCATTCCTGTGGGACAAAATACCTTCCTTGGGGCCCCAACTCCCAGTACTGCTGTATTGAGGATTTAAGCTTCCACATGAGATTTGGTGGCACAAACTAGTCAAGCTGTGGAATTTTGAGATAGGCCAGGGTTAGAATTTTAATGTTGCTATTGTTTGTTATATAGTCTTAGATAAATGATCTTAACTGCCATAAGCCCCAGTTTCCTGTTCTGTAAAATAAGGGTAATACCTACTCCATAGAGTGGTTATATTTAAATCAAATAATAATGTAATGTGCTTAGCA